AGAGACAGCAGCACACCCTCCCCAGCCTCTGCACCCCTTTCTTCAGCACCTGCATCCCATTCTCAGCCCCTGCACCACCTCCTCAGCCCCTGCACCCCTTCCTTCAGGCCCTGCAGTGCCTCCTCAGCCCCGGCACCCACTTCCCCAGCCCTGCACCTCTTCCTTCAGCCCCTGCACCCCACCCTCTACTCCTGCACCCCTTCTTTCAGCCCCTACACCCCATCCTCTGCCCCTGCATCCCTTCCTTCAGCCCCTGCACCCCCCTCCCCAGCCCTGCACCCCTGCAGGAGAGGCAGGAGTCAGCCGGGCAGTGCACGTGGTCCCGGCTCCATCTGCTGGGCTACGGCCGGGTGGCTGGTCGCTGTACAGCAGCGCTGGCCATGGAAAGATGAGAAATCACCCCAGACTGAGGAAGGGAAACTGGGAAGAGCCAGGCCATTGCAGGGTGGCTCCATCCCTCCCCAGACCCCACTTACAGACTCCTCTGTTTCCTTGCTGTTGCAAGATGAGCAATGGTTTTCTTGGCACACAGCTGGGACAGAGGGAATCCTGCTGTCTGAGAGAAAGGGATTTCGAGGCGCCCACTGTTCCTGTTGGGGGTCTGCCTGGTGATTTTCCATGGGGATGTCTCGCAGGGTAAAACCCTACCAGTGGGCTGCATAGCAGGAACCCAGACCGTGCACAGGGCCACCCGTCACAAAAGCCACAACAAATATTGAAAAAGAGAAAAAATAAACCAACAGGCCACGCAAGGCCAGTTGCACCCTTGCCGTTTGCTGCCAGCACAGCCTGGATGGCAGGAAGACAGCCCCACATGGGGGTACACGGGGGAGCTTAATGTGTGTCCCCACACCTTGGCACCATCACCCCCGGCTGTGCTCTGTTACCCCCAGGGAGGTTAGGGGCTGCCCCTCTGCCTGTGAGCTGCGAGGAGCTCAAATACCAAAAGCATCCTAATACAGAAAAAATAATTACAGTGTTTTGTACAAACCAACCCACATGACTTCAGCCCAGGAAAAAGATCCTGGGAAGGGCCAGACTCCGCCACGAAAATAATGCAGGAAGAAATAAAACAGATGACTGTTTATTTAAAAATATACCCTTTCTGTCCTTTTCTGGGAGCCCATTTATACCCTGCTCTGCGCTGGCTCCCCCTTTCACAGCAGCACTTCCGAGTCCTCCACACAGCCATTGGTGGGCAGCAGCCCTGGCCTGAGCGAGCCACCGACGGGCAGGGTGCTGGCCTGGGTCCACGCCGAGCCCTTGCTGTCCACCCGCTCGGGCAGCAGCGGGACGTAGGCCTCCTCGGCGGGGCTGCTGAGCTGCTCCTCCACGACGTACCTCGTCTCCCATCGTTCATTGTCATGGACATCCACGGCCACCAGTGCCACCTCCGCTCGGGGGGAGCAGGGCTCGGCAATGTCCCCGGGGTCCAAATCAGAGTCCGCTTGGGGGAAGCCTGAATCCTGGGTGGAGTCTGGGCTCTCCTCGGGCAGGCTAGTGTTGATGTAGATGACGTCCCCAGATTCCCTGACGGCGGGCAGGTTTTCCAGCAGCTTCTCCAGATGGACCTTCAGCTGTGAGAATGTTGGGCGGGTGGCGGGGTCAGCTCTCCAGCACATAGACATGATTTCATACCTGGAAACAGGGAGAGGAGAGTGGTTATTGGGCAGGATGTTGCCAGGCTCTGGTAGGGGATGTACAGGGGCTTCTCTCCAAACTGGGCAAGCCCTGAGCTGCTTTGCATTAAACCAACACACAGTCAGCTCCCCTGCTTAGGCTATTTGCCCCACGGCAGGGGCTGATCAGCCCAAGCTGCTGTTAGAAGTCTCTTCCAGTGCCTGGACCTTCACTGAGGGTCGGGCAGAGACAGACAGCTGGGATCTGCATCCCAGGCACATCCTGATCCTGCTCCTGGGACGCTAAGTCCTTCTCTCGAACTTCCCGCAGGTGCCTGTGCCCAGGCTGGATGTCAGGGCACACTGGAAAGTCCCAGCACCTCCCTGAAAGTCACTGCTGGCACCAGCAGGCTGGAGCCCATAAAAGGTTTCTTTGCTGCCTCATTCAGGGACCTGCCTTGGAGAGGGACCTTGTAGGAACCGCTGTGTGACTCCGAGCAGCTATGGTAGTTTAACTGATTTTGTATTTCAAGCTCTTAGCCATGGGGAGTTTAAACATTTTCAGCTGTAATGGCACTGGAGAAAAATTCAGGAAGAAAACTCGGGAGAAAAAACCTTGCTGAGCTGTTCAGAAATCAAAGTTTTGAGGCTTCCCCATTTTCCCTTTCCAGATGTATAGATTTTAGGCACTGAAGAGCCCTGAGTTTTGTGGGGCAGAGAAGAGCACCACCAGCCAAGACCTTCCAGTCAAAACTATCTTAAAAAAACCAAACACAACCCCCCCCTAAAAAGTCGTATCCCTCCACCACAAACTGCAGAGGGCACTGCTCCTGTCCCCACAGGACCAGCGAGGTGACACTGCTGGCTGCTGACAGCCCAGCTCCTCTGCCCTCTGTGCCAGCCCTGCAAACAGACTGATTTCTCCAAGGATATTTTTGGGGATTTCTGTGCGCCCATTTGTCTGGACTTATGATGATGCTTTTTCCTCCCTGGGTGATATGCTGCTCTGGTCTGGGATCCAGCTTTTATTAGGCACGTTAAAATTCAGGAGATTATGCAGATATTAAGGATTAAGTTTTTGTTTCTGTGATACTTTCATTTAAAATTTGACCCACGCCATTCTGGCCAGCCTTCCTCCTGAGAGCTAACCTACATGTGTGTTCTTGTAAGCTCCCTGCCTGTTAAGCCCACAAGAAAGAAAAGGTTAAATCCTTGCCATTTTTTAAAAAATCCCGTCTTTAATAACTGTTGTTTCTGGGAACTGTGGGAGAAATGGAGGGGGTGAGGTGGATGGTAACTCCCTCTCCAGTACAGACCCATCTTACTCTGCTTGGAGAGGAGGTTTGCAGCAGGGGGAGCACAGGTGTGCCAGAACGGTCCTTAATTGTGCTGTGATGCATGGCTTTGCAGGCTTTTGGCCACATTCAGTGATAAGCCACAAATCCACAGCACAAGCAGTTGTCCTTAAAGAAAGGATATCAGCAACTGAGAGCCACAAAGCACAAAGAGTAGCACCCCACAGAAACCACCTCAGCTACGGGCGAGTGATGCACAGGCTGTCTGCAGGCAGACAGAGCAAACCGGCTGCGCTACAGCCCAGAAACAGTGTTACAATACTCACAGCTCATCCGAGCAGTCCTCCGGCTTTTTCAGGCGCTGCCCATGGAAGAGGTACTCGTAGATCTCGTGGTTCTGCACTCCTGGGTAGGGCGTCATCCCTCGGGTCGCTATCTCCCACATGGTAACGCCAAATGCCCACTGCAAGGACAAAGGGAAAGCACACTGAAAAGACATTTCCAGGAGGAATGAATGAAGCTTTTCATGAGGAAAGGTCACTGCTCAGCATCCACTGGGCCCCTGCACAATGCTAAGAGTTGTCGCTTCAGTCCTGCCCTCTCCAAAATTGGAAATAACAAGCAATGCCACAGAAGAGGCGCGCGGCCCACTCAATAAACCTATTCCAGGAGGTTAGACAGGCAGCAAAAGGTCAGCATGTCCTGTTACCAACAGCCTACTGCTCCTCTGGCTTTGCACTTCCAGGGTACAAGAACAACTGTGACGAAGTGTGGCAAGGGTGGACGACTCAACCCAGGGTATTGGTCCCCAGATTTTGCCTCCTGCCACCTGGCAGCCCAGCCACATGGACCTACCACATCACTCTTAGTGGTGTAGACACGGTCAGCCAGGGACTCAATGGCAATCCACTTCACTGGCATTTTTGCTATTCGGCCCTGACGGTAGTAATCACCACTGTAAATCTTCTTTGACAAACCAAAGTCTGCCACGCACACCGTCTTGTCGTCCCGTAACCTGTCAGGCAGAAACAGGGATGACAAGATAGAAAAGTTCGATGTGCCAAATTCTGAAGCAGAGACCTGAGGCTGAGCTCTTTCCTCATGTCTCTCAGGACTGAGGGAGGTTTTACTAAAGGAAGCCAAGTTGTGCTGTAAAACCACAGGGCTTCTACTGGTGTTCATCTACCCAGGATCAAACAGAGGAAAACAAACTCACATGCAGTTTCGAGCTGCCAAATCCCTGTGGAGAAAGTTCTGACTGCTCAGATACTCCATCCCCAGGGCGATATCAACCATGAACTGCACCAGTGTCTGCAGGGGCACAAACTGGAAAGGAAAGGTGAGGGTTAGACAGTACAAGCCCTTTGGGAAGCACATCTGGTTTGATCCAAAAGGCCTCCCTGTCCAGGGCTGCTGGCTAACATCCTAGTGGTCTCACTGGCCTTGGGAAGCACCAGGGGTCCACAGCACCAGCCACTGTGGCCTCTCATCCCTGCTGGGCTAACGCCCTCAGACTGCAAGATGTATTGAATCACAAGCCTGAAGGAGCTGCAGATGTGGGGAAAGTTGTTCTAGCAATAACCACAAGCACTGTCTGCCCAGCTGTGCCATTGGCTGGAAGAGCCCAGCCTGGCAAACCACATTGCACTGTGGTTTGCTGTAGCAGTGGATACCTTTCCCACCCCCGCCTCCTCCTTCCATGTCTCTGGACTGCAACTGTGACCAGACATTGCTTCCTTCTTGCTTTTCCCACTGGCTGCCTTCAGACCACTTATTTTTGGCTAGAAAACAGCACTGCAGAAAAGGACTCTGGTGTAGAGCAAGCCGATCATGGTTCAGCAGTACGCCTTTGTGCCAATGAAGGCCAACCACGTAGCAGGCTGCATGAGCAAGAGTGAAGCCAGCAGGTCAAGGGAAACTATTCTTCCCCCAATTTGGCACTGGTGAGGCCACACCTGGATGCTGTGTCCCACTGGAGACTCCTCAGTAGGAGAAAGACATGTTGGAGCAAGCCCACAGAAGCCCACTAAGACGG